CCCCAGTATCATACAGCCCCCCAGCAGCCATCCTTCTGATTCGGGGAGCAGGCAGGGGTCTGGCCAGATGAATCACTTGGCTTGAGATCAGTCTTTACTATCTAATAGCTGTAAAAAAGATATTCCTTATGCAAACTCAATTAAAAACAGCCCCTCCTTGTAATGAGGCTCTGCTTATCTGTTGAGAGCAATAAAACTCTCTTTTAATTTCACACACAGCCAGAGGCCCTCAGTAAAGCCCAGGGTCACCAGTAAGGCTGTCAGCTGTGCTGGGGCTGCGCTGCAAGCTGACACCCACTCAGAGAGCCACATGCTGCTCCAGGACCAGTCTCTCCGTCTCAAAGCAACTTCCACACAGACCCGTTTTACAGCTACCTCTGCTGGGGCCTTTCTGGGGCCTGAAGGGAACTGCAGCTGTGCCCCGCCCCTGATTTGAACCCGTGACCAGACCACCGACCACTCGCACTACTCCACACTGCTGCGTCCTCTCCCTCGGCCTCTTCCTCCTGTCCCTTGCCTCTCCCACGCTCCTCCCCTCCTTATCTCCCACTCCCTCACCTAGCTCGTCAATGTCTCACCCAGCTGTCAGTGGCTCGCCCGTGGCAAGTGAGAATGTCACAGCGCCGCGCTACTTCAGCCAGCTCACAACAAAGCCTTTTTGCTAAAACCGCCTTTGCAGTATTTTTGAAGCTTCTATTTATATGAATGCTCTGGGGTTTCTCCTGCCCACAGTCTGCCCTCTCAGGTGGATTACAGCATGATAGCCAATTCTGGGATCAGATTTTTTCAATAGAAACATTATCTACAAATCCTGACTAAAGACAAAATAAGAGCAGATGTTCTTCCCGAGTCTGAGAGCTGTATATCTGATACAGCTTAATCATGTGTTATAAGGCCAGGATTCAGCAGCTTCCCAGATGATCCTGGATTACTAACTGCTGTGCAACAGTAACAATGTCCACAGCAGTGGCCACAGCCAACAGCACGATGCTCCCCGACTACCACCCTGAGCTCCCCTGCACAGCTCACAGGCCCAACACCAGACCCCGCTGGGGTAACGGCCCAGTGCCTGCTCACCTTCACAGCCAGGCAAAGATAACTCTCTGTTTCAGAACCAGGAGCCCAGCCCGTAAGGACTATTCCAGGACCAGGAGCCCAGCCCAGCCTGTTCGGGACTGCGATGACCACACAAAGCCATGTCACTCCTCAGCGAAGTCCACACTAGAGCTGCAGCAGCTACAGCCCAGCAAAGGCCTGCAGCACACTTCAGCATCAGAGACGGGGCCAACGTACTCCTCGATCTCGAGACCCCTTTCCCTCAGCACTCTTCACACAGACCCGCCAACACCCCCTCCGGGGCGCTCGGACCTACACGTATCCACACCTTCACCCCTCAGGTCACCCAGAAAGTAAAACACACATCTACACCTCCACAGCTTTCCCCCTCAGGCACCCCTCGCCAAGAGCCCTGGCTGGAAGAACTAATCAAATCAACTAACTCAACATTTAAAAGTCATTGTGTCTGCTTTACAGTAAGAGTGCTATGAGCAAAGCTACTGCTGCAGAAACTGAGAATTCACTTCCTCTGAACCTGCAGAGATTGTACTCAAGTGGTCGGCTATATGCAGCGGTGACCTGGCCTGTACTCCCTAGCACCGTGGTTCATTGTCTAACAGCACTAACAGTCTCCAGGACCTGAGCTGGGCCTCTCACAGCAGGTCCATCTGCAGCTGACAGGCCAGGCCACAGAGCAGCCTAGACGAGCAGGCACAGCTCCCCACGGGCTGCAACCAGGAGAGGTGCAAAGAGAGGGGCAGGGAGAGGGAGAAGGAGAGGGGCAGGGAGAGGGCAGGGAGAAGGAGAAGGAGAGGGGCAGGGAGAGGGAGCAGGAGCAGGGGCAGGGAGAAGGAGAAGGAGAAGGAGAAGGAGAGGGGCAGGGAGAAGGAGAAGGAGCAGGGAGAAGGAGAAGGAGCAGGGGCAGGGAGAAGGACAGGGCTACATCTGAGTAGCACACAGCAAGAACTTATTAACATTCACAGCACCGTGCCACAGACACACAGGTCGCAGGGAGCTGGCCTCAAGCTCCACAGGAAATCGATGTGGAGCTCTGTCCGACAGACGCTCCGTCACATTCAGCTGTGTCCACGTATTAAAAAGGAGTCAGGGGGGCCTCCAGGGGTCGGACCTGTGGCCCGACTCACACAAACTCAACAAAATCAGCACATCAGACGGGTGGAGTGAGCCTGGGTCACAGGCGACGGGACCGGGCCACCAAAAGGGTCCTAATGTCCACTGGTTGTCCTTGTAACCAGGCAACAGGGTAACTGGAGCCGTTCATCCCTGCAATTCCCCCTCATTCTCATCTTCCTCCTCTCTCCGCTTCCTCTTCCTCCCCACTCATCTTCCTCCTCTCTCCGCTTCCTCTTCCTCCCCACTCATCTTCCTCCTCTCCGCTTCCTCTTCCTCCCCCCTCATCTTCCTCCTCTCCGCTTCCTCTTCCTCCCCCCTCTCCCCTTCCACCCCTCCTCTCCTCTTCCATCCCCCTCCTCTCCCCTTTTCCTCCTCTCCTCCTCTTCCTCCTCTCCCCCAATCCTCTTCCTCCCCTCCCCTCTTCCTCCCCTCTCCTTCCTCCTCTCCCCCAATCCTCTTCCTGCTATCCCCTTCCTCCTCTCCCCCCTCCTCTTCCTCCTCTCCCCAATCCCCTTCCTCCTCTCCCCCAATCCCCTTCCTCCTCTTCCTCCCCTCTCCTCTTCCTCCTCTCCCCCCAATCCTCTTCCTCCTCTCCCCCCAATCCTCTTCCTCCCTTC